CTGACCATTCATGCTGGTGTGGCATCTTTGCCCGGAGTGGGGCTCTGGTGCGGGTGTCTCCGTCATAGCCGGACTGGGTGCCGGTGGTGGCACCTGGGCCCGAGTGGCCTCAGCAAGTGCCAGAGAGACCTTCTCCAGCAGTGTCTTCAAATGGGCCCGGTGGTACCTCAGTGGCTGCACCGCCTCAGATATCCAGAACCGGAGATAGAAATGGGAGTCGATCTGGTAGTACTCCAATATTTCTTCTAATAACTGGCCGATGCTGTAGACGTCTGCGGCGGTTGTGCACGGAAGGCCTTTGATGACTTCTGGAGCCATGTGAATATCTCCGTTTCTAAACCGATGCCGTGTTCCAACTTGTACAGCCAAGCCGAAGTCGATAACAGTGGCCTGGACACCTCCACTCGTGCGCTGCACACAAATATTGTTGGCCTTTAGGTCGATGTGTATCCATCCCCGAGCATGGATGGCAGCGATGGTCCTGCACACCTGGCCGACAACTTCCAGACATTCCTTTACAGAGGACTGGCGCCGCTCGAGGACATCTGACCAGGTTTCCCCGCAGTATTCAGTGATCAAGGTGAGGGTCTCAGGGCACACCCCAATCAACTTCTGCACGCCAGCCAATCCTTTCAGAGCCGCCAGAGCCTCTATCTCCCGGATCATAGCATCAACGATCTCGGGTTAGTCTCCGCAACGCTTGGAGACCCATTGCGAGGACGATACTTGGGCCACGAAGCACTTGCCGAACGCGCCAGACCCGAGCACCGAACAGCATTCCTTGTCGAAGACGAATGAGAGGAGATCGGAGCCGAAAATGTTCACCATATATCGCTCACAAACATCTCTAACGCGCCTCACGCTGGATTCCGTAGCGAGGACGGGAGATGATAAGGACACCCCATGGGAGGTGCGCCAAGCCATTTCCGATACTTGCGATCCTACACTAACTTTAGCCAATACGTCGAGCTTAATTATCATAAATATCCGACATAACAATAATTTAGTCAACGCAGTTAGTATTTTGTGTGACCTCTAAACCTTATCTCTTTTATCTTTGATGAAATGATACGTATGAGGGAGCTGTAGTGAGGGTTAGTATGCGGTATGAGGGAGGTAAGTGTTGGGAAGAGAGAGAGAGAGAGAGAGTATCCAGTCAAGATTCCAAAGTCAAGATACTGGTGGAGATTATCTAGTCAAGATGCAGGTGGAGATTACCTAGTCAATATGCAGGTGGAGATTACTTACTCAAGATGCAGGTGGAGATTACTTAGTCAAGTTGCAGGAGGAGATTACTTAGTCAAGATGCAGGTGGAGATTACTTAGACAAGATGCAGGTGAAGATTACTTAGTCAAGATGCAGGTGGAGATTACTTAGTCAAGATACAGGTGGAGATTACTTAGACAAGATGTAGGTGGAGATTACTTAGTCAAGATGCAGGTGGAGATTACTTAAGTCAAGATGCAGGTGGAGATTACTTAAGTCAAGATGCACGTGGAGATTACTTAGTCAAGATGCAGATGGAGATTACTTAGACAAGATACAGGTGGAGATTACTTAGTCAATATGCTGGAGTAGATTAAGTAGACAACATACTTTTGGATGTTAACTAGTCAAAATGTTGGTACACATTGCCAAGTTAAGATGCTGGGGTTCAGTAGTTAAGATGCTGGTAGAGCTTGCCTAGTTAAGATGCTGGTGATTGAGAAGTCAAGATGCTGTTGTTTCAGTAGTGAAGATGTTGGGGGGTGTGTGAAGTGAGTGAGGTAAGGTAAGGAGCAGGTAACGAGTGGGTAAGTTAAGAAGCTGGAGTCAAGATACCAGTTGGTAAGTGTGGCGTATGAGGGAGGGAGATGTAGTGAAGGGTAAGTGTGGAGTATAAGGGAGGGAGATGTAGTGAAGAGTAAGTGTGGAGTATAAGGGAGGGAGATGTAGTGAAGGTAAGTGTGGAGTATAAGGGAGGGAGATGTAGTGAAGGTAAGTGTGGAGTATAAGGGAGGGAGATGTAGTGAGGGTAATTGAAAGGTATGAGGGAGTATGAGGGATGGAGCTGGGGTTGAGGAGACATGATGCTGGAGGAACTTGCCTACTCAAGATGCTGGTGGAGATTAAAAGTAGTGAAGATGAGGGGGGCTGAGCAGTCAACCTGTTGGTGACTGGACAGTCAAGAAGCTGTTAGAGATTGACCAGTTAAGATGCTGGGGCTCAGTAGTCGAGATGCTGCTAGAGATTGACCAGTTAAGATGCTGGAGTTCAGTAGTCGAGATGCTGTTAGAGATTGACCAGTTAAGATGCTGGGGCTCAGTAGTCGAGATGCTGTTAGAGATTGACCAGTTAAGATGCTGGAGTTCAGTAGTCGAGATGCTGTTAGAGATTGACCAGTTAAGATGCTGGGGTTCAGTAGTCGAGATGCTGTTAGAGATTGACCAGTTAAGATGCTGGGGTTCAGTAGTCGAGATGCTGTTAGAGATTGACCAGTTAAGATGCTGGAGTTCAGTAGTCGAGATGCTGTTAGAGATTGACCATTTAAGATGCTGGAGTTCAGTAGCCAAGATACTGTTAGAGATTGTCCAGTTAAGATGCTGGGGTTCAGTAGTCAGGATGCTGTTAGAGATTGACCAGTTAAGATGCTGGGGTTCAGTAGTCAGGATGCTGGGAGAGATTGCCTAGTTAAGATGCTGGTGATTGAGAAGTCAAGATGCTGTTGTTTCAGTAGTGAAGATGTTGGGGTGTGTGAAGTGAGTGGGTAAGGTAAGGTAAGGTAAAGTAAGGAGTAAGTAAGGAGTAGGTAAAGTAAGGAGTAAGTAAGGAGTGGGTAAGGTAAGGAGTAACTAAGGAGTAGGTAAGTTAAGGAGCTGGAGTCAAGATACCATTTGGTAGATTGACCAGACAACACACTAGAAGGTGAAGGGACGACGACGTTTCGGTCCGTCCTGGACCATTCTCAAGTCGATTGTGTCAAGTCAAGTCAAGCCATGAGGGAGGGGGAAGTAGTGAGGGTAAGTGTGGGGTATGAGGGAGGAAGTGATGGGTACAAAGAGAGAGAGAGAGAGAGAGAGAGAGAGAGAGAGAGAGAGAGAGAGAGAGAGAGAGAGAGAGAGAGTGAGTGAGAATCCAGTCAAGATTCCCTAGTGAAGATGCTGGTGGAGATTAACTAAAGATGCAGGTAGAGTTTCTGGTCAAGATGCAGGAGGAGATTATTTAGTCAAGATGCAGGTGGAGATTACTTAGTCAAGATGCAGGTGGCGATTACTTAGTCAAGATGCAGGTGGAGATTACTTAGTCAAGATACAGGTGGAGATTACTTAGTCAAGATGCAGGTGGAGATTACTTAGTCAAGATGCAGGTGGAGATTACTTAAGTCAAGATGCAGGTGGAGATTACTTAGTCAAGATGTAGGTGGAGATTACTTAGTCGAGATGCAGGTGGAGATCAACTAGTCAACATGGTTGTGAAGTCATGATGATGGTGGGGGGATTACCTAGTGAAGATCCTCGCGGTGATTAACTACTCAAGAAGGTGTGGACATTACTAGTCAATATGCCGGTGTAGATTATGTAGTCAACATACGTTTGGAAGTTAACTCGTTAAAATGTTGGTACACATTGTGTTTACTAGTTGTGTTTACTAGTTGTGTTTTTGCGGGGGTTGAGCTTTGCTCTTTCGGCCCGCCTCTCAACTGTCAATCAACTGTTTACTAACTACTCTTTTTTTTTTTTCCCCACACCACACACACACACTCACCCCAGGAAGCAGCCCGTGACAGCTGACTAACTCCCAGGTACCTATTTACTGCTAGGTAACAGGGGCACTTAGGGTGAAAGAAACTTTGCCCATTTGTTTCTGCCTCGTGCGGGAATCGAACCAGCGCCAAAGAATTACGAGTCCTGCGCGCTATCCACCAGGCTACGAGGCCCCCTCCTAGGATTGTCTAGTTAAGATGCTGGTAGAGATTGTCCAGTTAAGATGCTGGGGTTCAGTAGTTAAGATGCTGGTAGAGATTGTCCAGTTAAGATGCTGGGGTTCATTAGTCATGTTGTTAGAGATTGTTCAGTTAAGATGCTGGGGTTCAGTAGTCAAGATGCTGTTAGAGATTGTCCAGTTAAGATGCTGGGGTTCAGTAGTCAGGATGCTGTTACAGATTGTCCAGTTAAGATGCTGGGGCTCAGTAGTCAAGATGCTGTTAGAGATTGTCCAGTTAAGATGCTGGGGTTCAGTAGTCAAGAAGCTGTTAGAGATTGTCCAGTTAAGATGCTGGGGTTCAGTAGTCAAGATGCTGTTAGAGATTGCCTAGTTAAGATGCTGGGGTTCAGTAGTCAAGATGCTGTTAGAGATTGCCTAGTTAAGATGCTGGGGTTCAGTAGTCAAGATGCTGTTAGAGATTGACCAGTTAAGATGCTGGGGTTCAGTAGTCAAGATGCTGTTAGAGATTGTCCAGTTAAGATGCTGGGGTTCAGTAGTCAAGAAGCTGTAAGAGATTGACCAGTTAAGATGCTGGGGTTCAGTAGTCAAGATGCTGTTAGAGATTGTCCAGTTAAGATGCTGGGGTTCAGTAGTCAAGATGCTGTTAGAGAGTGACCAGTTAAGATGCTGGGGTTCAGTAGTCAAGGTACTGTTAGAGATTGTCCAGTTAAGATGCTGGGGTTCAGTAGTCAGGATGCTGTTAGAGATTGACCAGTTAAGATGCTGGGGTTCAGTAGTCAGGATGCTGTTAGAGATTGACCAGTTAAGATGCTGGGGTTCAGTAGTCAGGATGCTGTTAGAGATTGACCAGTTAAGATGCTGGGGTTCAGTAGTCAAGATGCTGTTAGAGATTGACCAGTTAAGATGCTGGGGTTCAGTAGTCAAGATGCTGTTAGAGATTGTCTAGTTAAGATGCTGGGGTTCAGTAGTCAAGATGCTGTTAGAGATTGACCAGTTAAGATGCTGGGGTTCAGTAGTCAAGATGCTGTTAGAGATTGTCTAGTTAAGATGCTGGGGTTCAGTAGTCAAGATGCTGTTAGAGATTGACCAGTTAAGATGCTGGGGTTCAGTAGTCAAGATGCTGTTAGAGATTGTCTAGTTAAGATGCTGGGGTTCAGTAGTCAAGATGCTGGTAGAGATTGACCAGTTAAGATGCTGGGGTTCAGTAGTCAAGATGCTGGTAGAGATTGACCAGTTAAGATGCTGGGGTTCAGTAGTCAAGATGCTGTTAGAGATTGTACAATTAAGATGCTGGGGTTCAGTAGTCAAGAAGCTGTAAGAGATTGACCAGTTAAGATGCTGGGGTTCAGTAGTCAAGATGCTGTTAGAGATTGCCCAGTTAAGATGCTGGGGTTCAGTAGTCAAGATGCTGTTAGAGAGTGACCAGTTAAGATGCTGGGGTTCAGTAGTCAAGGTACTGTTAGAGATTGTCCAGTTAAGATGCTGGGGTTCAGTAGTCAGGATGCTGTTAGAGATTGACCAGTTAAGATGCTGGGGTTCAGTAGTCAGGATGCTGTTAGAGATTGACCAATTAAGATGCTGGGGTTCAGTAGTCAAGATGCTGTTAGAGATTAACCAGTTAAGATGCTGGGGTTTAGTAGTCAAGATGCTGTTAGAGATTGTCTAGTTAAGATGCTGGGGTTCAGTAGTCAAGATGCTGTTAGAGATTGACCAGTTAAGATGCTGGGGTTCAGTAGTCAAGATGCTGTTAGAGATTGTCTAGTTAAGATGCTGGGGTTCAGTAGTCAAGATGCTGGTAGAGATTGACCAGTTAAGATGCTGGGGATCAGTAGTCAAGATGCTGGTAGAGATTGACCAGTTAAGATGCTGGGCTTCAGTAGTCAAGATGCTGTTAGAGATTGTACAATTAAGATGCTGGGGTTCAGTAGTCAAAAAGCTGTAAGAGATTGACCAGTTAAGATGCTGGGGTTCAGTAG